GCACTCTAGCTAAGCAATATAATTATTGTATAAAATTAAAAATAATAAGAAAATCTTGATAAAACTGACCTCCGACGAAGTCATTAGAACAGAACTTTATATTCGAGAATTTGTTAAATACTACAATTTCATCACATTACATAGAAGATAAATTATAGTATGCGTGTTAACTACACACATTTGTTCAGATATTACTTTAAATAAATCGATAATTCAATCAGAAGATTCTGGGCAGCCTAGAAAAGCAGTAACGAAACTAACCTGTTGTGGTTTTGTCCTGTACTACATCCAGTGCATTGTTTTAGTTTTGATTTTCTGTTACTTTCGTATATCCTGGTTGAACAAACACAACGCACTTCCTATTTCACAGCTTCCATGTCTTTCTTCAGTCCCATATCATAAATTATATCACTTTCCTGGCTTCAAGAATTAGTAGTATACTAATTGTTGCATGAAGAATGATTGATGAATAAAGGATAGGGAAATACTTCTTTTAATTTTCAGCTGCATGTCTCCTTCCTAATAAGATGTACTTGATAATAAAGTACATAAGACGATTCCCTTTCATGCTACTAAATGGAAAGCATCTGCCACATTAATCTTTTTTTGTGTGAAAACAAACCAGAAAACTATTTTTGAAAAGTAGCCACAGGACCAATTTTGGTTCGCAAATTTTTTCTATTTTAATTTCTGCTCAACAACTTTTAAAGTAATAATTTATTGCCACCAGTGGATTACAATGCATAATTCACATAACAGCAATAATAATAACATAAATATATCCAGATTGTCTATAAATCATAACCCTTTTCCCAGCTTTTATGTGCCTCCCTACGTCTCCTCGCTGCCAACAGCTCCCCCATCCATCTTCTCTACTCCGTCATCTCTCCCAGCATCTGTCTCCAGTCCAACACCTCCTCCCTTAACTCATCATACTCTATCAAAATATTTTTTTTAAATTAAAGTGAAAACAATAAAAGGAATTCAAGGTGTACATAATGATTGAAGAAGTACACTTGGAAATAGTAAAAACACTGGTGCACTTAAATAGAAAAGATAGAGCAGAATGTAACGAAGCTATCCATAGCGTAGATTTAAAAGAAATTGATAGTAGTACAGATATTACATGAGCAACAAGTTGGACAAATCAAGATGGATAAATGAAACGATAAAATATAAAACATGATGAAAACCTGTTTCCAACTGCAAATCCAGTTAATAATTAATCACTGCGCAAGACCAAAATTGAACAAATAACAAAGCGGAAAGTTTCAGAGCGACATTTTCAACTACTAAATTTTTTTACATGTTATGACATCATAAATAAATCTAATTACCAACAAGAACTATTTAAATCATGAAATCACTAAGAGGATATGTAGAAAATAACAACCATAAAGCAAAAGAATATATAAATTCTTTCAAAGATCTATTTTTCATAATTTTAAAAAAACATCATTAGAGTAAGTAGACGTGTTGGCAATTGTATCATTATGTTGTCTCTGAGGTATGGTTTTGATTAGTTCTATCTTTAGTAAACAAATATGCATAAATGTTGCTGAAATTCTGAGTATCCGTCTTGAAATTGATTGCATCCTTAGTATAGTTAACGTGTACTATTTCGAGAAAAAGTCTATTATAGTATTTATTTTCACTATCTAAGAGCTTAACATTCTCAAAATCAAAAGTATGTTTGCAGTCATAAACATGTTGGGATAATGCACAAACAGTTTTTTCCAACCGGTAATTACTTTCATGTTTTGAAATTCTAGTTTTTAGCCATTGGGTTGTTTGGCCAACATACTTCCCGTTGCAATCATTACATGAAACATGGTAAACTAACTTTGACCTGTATTTGTCTTCAGTTTTGTCCTTAAGTAGTACAGATAGTCTGAGGAAAGAACGTGATAAAAGAAAAACTGGTAAGACGCAAAGCAGGGAGAATAGCAATATCAATGGCAATCAAGATTTCCAAAGACTGACAAATCAATTGTACTTTATGTAAACTGGATACGTAAGAGAAAATTAATAAACGCCAATTACCACGTAAACTAGTTCTTCAAATCATCACCTAAAGATTTTCGTTGCTAACATTTTCAGAATTGGAAAGAGAAAAGAATAAAAGGGAGTTTGGACAACATATTCCAGTTCATTGGCATCACCACCACAAATTATCAAATAGAATCTATAAAACTCCAAGGCATTTTTCAACACAATCAGAAAGGACTACCTTTATTATCTGTGGTACTAACCACAGAATAACCAGAAATGACACTGACGTCGATTCGTTTGATGTTGGCGGCACCTCATTTTGTGACTTCGATTGAAAATTCGCCATCTTATCACGAGTTACCAAAAGCACAGAATCAAACATACTATATAAGGTTATCAACTCCCTGTTGTTATGAACGTATCCGTCTTTAGAGACGTGCGATTCTAGTTCTAGGTATAATGTTACTTTTAGTGATAGTACTAGTGTAAAACTAGAACTAACACTATACTTAGAACTAGAATCATTCGGGTTTAGCCGTCTTTAGAGACGTGTGGCTAAACCCAAATGATTCTAGTTCTAGATATAGTGTTATTTTTAGTGACAGTACTAGTGTAAAACTAGAACTAACACTATACTTAGAACTAGAATCATTCGGGTTTAGCCGTCTTTAGAGACGTGTGGCTAAACCCAAATGATTCTAGTTCTAG